CTTTTTCACCCAGCCTCCCAAACCCCTCCCCTCTGGCTACCATTAGTGTATTCTCTGTATCTATGAGTCTCTTTCGGTTTTGTTTGTTCATTTATATTGTTCAGAACTGTTTTTTTAAAAGACTGTCTTTTTCCCACTGAATTGCTTTGGTAACTTTGTGGGAAACCACTGGCCATGAATGTAAGTTTGTTTCTAGACTCTCGATTTTGTTTCTTATTGTCAACACCACAATGCCTTGATTACTGTAGCTTTGTAATAAATTTCAAAACTAGCAAGTGTAAGTTCTCCAACTTTGGTCTTATTCAAAATTAGCTTGGCTCTTTTACATCTTTTTCATTTCTGTATAAATTTTAAGATCATTTTCTCATAATTTCTAAAAAGAGAAAAGAATTCTGGGATGTTAATAGGGATTGTGATGAATCTGTAGATCAATTTGGGGAAAATTGCTATCTTAACAATGTTGTGTCTTAAAATTCATGAACATGGACTGTGTCTTCATTTATTTAGATATTTGATCATTTTCAGCAATGTTTTGTTATTTTCTTTTTTGCTGGATTTATTTTCATTTAAAATTTTTTATATTGAGGTATAATTGACATATAACATTATATTAGTTTTAAGTGTACAACATAATGATTTGATATTTGTATACATTGCAAAATGATCACCATGATATGTCTTGTTAACATCCATTATTATACCTAGTTACAGAATTTTTTCATGTAATGAAAACTTTTAAGATTTATTCTCTTAGAAACTTTCAAATATGCAATACAGTGTTATTAACTATAGTTACTATCACCATGCTGTACATATTTCCATGACATATTTATTTTATAACTAAAAGATTTTACGTTTTGACCCTCACCCATTTTGCCTACCCCTATCCCACCTCTGGCAACCACCGATCTGTTCTCTGTATCAGTAAGCTCACCCTCCCCCTTTTAAAATTTAAATTCTACATGTAAGTGAGATCATATGGTATTTGTTTTTTTCTGTCTGATTTATATCACTTAGCAAGATGCCCTCAAGGTCTATCCATGTTGTCACAAATGGCAAGATTTCATTTTTTTTTTTAATGGCTGAATAATATTCCATTGTGTGTGTGTGTATACACACACACACACCATATATTCTTTAGCCATTCGTCTATTGGTGGACACTTAGGTTGTTTCCATATCTTGGCTATAGTAAATAATTCCACAGTGAACATTGGGGTGCAGATATCTTTTCAAATTAGTGTTTCATTTTCTTTGGATAAATACCCAGAAGTGGAATTGCTGGATCATATGGTAGTTCTATTTTTAATTTTTTTTTTTAAAGAACTTCCAGAACTTTCCATAGTGTCTGCATCAATTTGCATTTTCACCAACAGTATACAAGGGTTCCCTTTAATCTATGCAACACTAGTTATTTCTTGTCTTTTTGATAATAGCCATTCTAACTGGTGTGAAGTGATATCTCATTGTGGTTTTGATTTGCATTTTCCTAATGATGAGTGAGGTTAAGCATTTCTTCATGTTTCTGTTGGCCATCTATATGTCTTCTTTGAAAAATGTCTATTTAGAGCCTCTGTTCATTTTTTAATTGGATTGTTTGTTTCTTTGTTGTTGATTTATATGAATTCTTTATGTGTTTTGCATATTAACCCCTTAGCAGATGTATGATTTGTAAATATTTCCTTTCATTCAGGAGGTTGCCTTTTTATTTTGTTGATTTCTTTTGCTGTGCAGAAGCTTTTTGGTTTGACATAGTCTCGCTTGTTTATTTTGTTGCTGTTGCTTTTGGTATCAGATTCAAAATACCATTACCAAGACTGATGTGAAGGAGATTATCACCTATGTTTTCTTCTAGGAATTTTATGGTTTCAGATATTTTCAAGTCTTTAATCCATCTTGAGTAAATTTTTGTGCATGATATGAGATCTTAGTCTAGTTTCATTCTTTGCATGTAGTTGTTTTGTTTTTCTAACACACTTGTTGAAGAGACTATTTTTTCTCCATTATATATTCTTGGCTCTTTCATTGTAAATTAATTGACCATATATGTGTGGGCTTGTTTCTGTGCTCTCTATTTTTGTTCCATTGATCTATGTGTCTGGTTTTATGTCAGTACCACACTGTTTTGATTACTATAGCTTTGTAAAGTAGTTTGAAATCAGCATGTGTGATGCCTCCAGCTTTTTTTCTTTCTCAAGATTGCTTTTTTTGTCCATTTATTTTTAATTGAGGTATAATTGACATATAACTTTATAATAGTTTCAGCAAGTATACAACATAATGATTTGATATTTGTATACACTGCAAAATGATCACCACAATACGTCTAGTGACCATCCATAACTATACATAGTTATAAAATTCAAGATTGCTTTGTCTTTGGGATCTTTTGTGGTTCTATATAAATTTAAGGATTGTTCTATTTCTGGGGCTATTGGAATTTTGATATCTACATTGAATTTTGAAGATTGCCTTGTACATTCAATCTACATTGAATCTGTAGATTGCTTTGGGTAGTATGTACATTTTAACAATATTAATTTTTTCCAGTCCATGATCATGGAGAATCTGTTTGATTTTTTCTTCAGTTTCTTTCCATTAATGCACAGTTATCAGTGTACAGATCTTTCACCTGCTTGGTTAAATTTATTTTTAGATATATTTTTTAATCCTTACCTGAGGATATGTTTTTATTGATTTTAGAGAGAGAGAAAGGGGGAGAGAGAGGGAGAAACATTCATATGAGAGAGAAACATTGATTGGTTGCCTCCTATAGGTGCCCCAGCCAGGGATTAAATCCACAACCTAGATATGTGCCCTGACTGGGAATTAAACCTGCAACCTTTTGGTGCATGGGACAATGCTCCAACTAAACTGAGCCACCTGGTCAGGGCTATTCCTAGATATTTTAGGGTGCTATTGTACATGGTATTGTTTTCTTTTTTTTTCCTTTTTTTTTTTTTTTATTCTCACCCGAGGACATTTTTCCATTTTTTGTTCAGGTAGAGTGGGGGGGGGGGAGAGATGAACAGAGAGAGAGAGAGAAACATCGATGTGAAAGGGACACATCGAGTGGCTGCCACCCATACAACCGACCAGGGCCGGGGACAAACCGCAACCGAGGTACATGCCCCTAGCGGGAACCGAACCCGGGTCTCTCAGGACCGCAGGCTGACGCTCTAACCGCTGAGCCAAACCGGCCAGAGCTATGGTATTGTTTTCTTAATTTCTCTTTCTGATAGTTTATTATTAGTATATAAAAATGCAACTGGTTTTTATATATTAATTTTGTAGCCTGTAACTTTACTGAATTTATTTTATGAATTTTAACGAGGGTTTTGGGGTGGAGTCTTTAGGGTTTTCCCTAAATATTTTCTTCTTCTTGAGCGAATTCTGTCTTGAGCATATTTAATTTAAGGTGTCAATACGACATTACAGGTAGAAACGTCTGCCCAATGGGCTGCTGGGTCTCAGGAGAAAGATCTGAGCTAGATTTGGGCGTAGTCAGCATATTGGTGGGCTGGTGTTACCCAGGGAGAGCAGAAGAATAAAAAAGATGACAATGTATAGAAATCCAGGAATCACTAACACTTACTGGACAGGCATAAGAAGGGAACTAGTTGGGGAACTAGTTGCTTACAGTGGAGGCTGAAAACAGCCACAGAGGTAAGAGGAAGAGTGTGGTATCACTAAGCCTAGAACTTTGTTGTTGTTGTTGTTAATCCTCACCTGAGGATATTTTTCCATTAATTTTCAGATGAGTGGAAGGGAGGGAGGGAGGGAGAGAGAAACTTCCATGTGAGAGAGACACTTTGATCGGCTGCCTCTCACATGACCCTGACTGGGGCTGAGAGTTGAATGTACAACCCAGGTATGTGCCCTTGACTGGAATCGAACCTGCAGCTCTTCAATCCACGGGTGACACTCTAACCACTGAGCCAAACCAGCCAGGGCAAGCCTAGAACATTTAAAAGAAATGTCAAAGAAGCATGTCCTATTGTTGTGGAGAGGGCGAAGTGAAATATAGTCTGAGAAAGGTGATTTAATTTGCCAATTAAAAGCTAATTGTTGATGTTACTGAGAACAGTTTTAGCAGCAGGGTTATGTGTATGTGGAGTCAGGGTGGAAACCATACAGAGGAGAAGTAAGGAATGAATGGAATATTCTACCTTATTTGCCACTGTGACCCTGGGTGCGTGGCACTTTGGTACTTAGTAAATATTTGAATGAAGAAGGAAGTAGAGACAATGCTTTCAAAAGCTAAGGCTTGGGGAAGGAAAGAAGAGAAGTTGGAGAAGATTTACCTTGAAGAGAATAAATACTTCTTTCTAATGTGTGAGGAACTTGTTTACCTCCGTATGAAAAGGAAAAGAGACTGTGGAGAGGCAGGAGCTGAAGATAAGTGAGAGTGGCTGTTTGGTGAAGCTGTGATCCAGAACAGGCCGGAGGGAGTGGGATTTACAGCATATTATTTTGAAACAGAAAAGATGTGACAGGTGCTTGAAACTGTTGGAATTGTAATGATTTAAAATACTTATTAAAAATATATGTCACATTCCCAGACACTGGTTAGTGTTGCTAAATTTGAAGGAATCTTTAGACTAAAGCTATGTGAAAAATGAAGTGGGGGAAATTTAAAGATACCTATATGCTTTGAAATGAACTATATCCTTAATCTTTATTACTTTCAGATAGAAAGGTTTCTTCTCTCTTTTTGGTGTGTTGCTAATGCATCTTTGCACCTAAATGACAAATTCAGATGGATCTAGTATGTTTCCAGCCTTCCCCCTGCCTTTGAGCAGCATTTGGTATGGCCCTAGATCTGTGCATACATCTTTGCACACCAGAGCCCCCGAGAGCTTGCATTTGGCTTTTATAGAGGCAGTAGATTCCGATATTTGTCTTTTTAAGCCATCGGCAGAAAACTAACAGGCTTAATATAATTTATCTGGAAAAACCTGCTTCTGGCCTCAGCCTCACTTCCTTTGTTCTACATCCCAGAAGATGCACATCAGGGGAGCTGCCTAATAACTGGAGGTTCCACTTGACCAGCACTGAGCTTCTGTTTACTTGTTCAGTTCTCATATCCATGTCATCTCCAGGACTCAGCGAAAATAGTCAGAGGAATACCTGTAGGTGGAACTTTATGTTTTCTTCACTGCTTCTCTTTAACATTTTTATATCCTTGCTTGTACATTGCAGTATTTGCATGATATGCAGATGATATATTATTTAAAAGTAGAAATTAAATTTCAACTTGATTGGAACTTACAAGCACTACATTTTAATGACAGGATTAGTTTCTTTGTATTACCAAGAAGTACTAAATTAATACTCAAAACAATAAGTAAAAAATGTTGCATGGAAATCTAGAATTTTTGCTCTTATAATATTGTCTTATCATCTATTGGATGAAATTCACTAGATAGTCATTTTATGAGGCAACATTTATATTAAAAGATAAACATGAAATACCAGGAAAGTAATGTCAGCTATTAGAATAATAAGTGCAGTTCTTATGCTCCATAAAATTAATTTAGCATTCCTTTCTGCTAGTATGTTTATTTTCTGAGAAGCAGTTAATATAGTTGAATATGTGATTCATATTCAGTAACAGTGTAAAGTTAAAATTAATTCAGTGCTACTATATTGGTTTATCTAAAATGGCTGATTTACCAAGTGGATTTTGAAAATGTCATAATGCTTCATACAGATTAAAAATATATATTCTTTTCCTAATTATACAGAACTTCAGTGTACCTTATCACCTGTTGGCTAGAGGCTGTGGTTGCAGTGATGTCATATGTGACATTTTTAGAAATACATATACAAAGATATTGAACAGAAAAATTATACCTTAAAAGTTCATTGGTGGCTTATTTTGTTGAGTAATTTATTTTATCCATGGAGATAACTGAGGAATTATTTAAAATAATTATCGCATTTTTTTAAACTCCACATATACCTTTAAGGTGGCACATATTATGACATACTATATATCATGCCCTGTGAGGGTAGAAGCCATTTGTATTCATAGGAAAAAAATGAAAGAAGTACATGTCCCTAATCTCTTGCTCTGTCATGATTATTCTGTTTTTGAGATTACAAATTAGAATAAGGTACAGCAAACTTAAATTAAAGGGAAAGTTTCTTCTTCCTCTTGATCTCTCATATTCTCACCTTTCAAGCTCTTTAAGCTCAGGTAGACATATTAAGTGAAGCAAAAGATAACTGAGGAATTTATTATAACATTGGAGCATTATGGAGTGAAATTCTAACTTGAGGTATTACAATATTTTTTTTCATTATTAAGTGTTCATGAGTAAACTGATAAGAATGGAGGAAGTGAGAACTTTAGTGTTTATTTTTTAAATATTTTAAGGAATATATAATACCACTTTTCTCTCAGGCAATAGTGGTTCTAATAATAAGGATCTTAATATAGGTATAATCTGGTATTTAAAATTTTTTAATCATTCATTTAAGAAATTATGAAAATCATGATTTGTTGGTGAATACTGGCAAGATTTTCTGTCTGCTCTTCTTTTTACATCAATATGTCTACATGTATATTCCCTTTTAAAAAGCTTTATTATATAACTCAGTGTTTAAATAAAGTTAGTATCTATGTCCTGTAGTACAGAAATATTTATATCCTGTCTGTTAATTTTTATTCTAAGACAGATTATTTTTAAGACCTACTTGATTCTTTATTCTAATGCGCTGTCATAAGATGTCATACTGGCATGACCTGAATTCTGTAACATGATGTTTTGTAGTGAAGGGGAATTGGCATTCTAACAGCTTGTTGAACTATTAAACTACACTAATGGAGAGCCTTGAGATTTGGTCATGATGCTTAAATATTACCTTTCTGTGTTTTCTTATAATACACTATTATATAATAAATAATTATAGCAGTAGAATATTTTATAAATGTATCAGCACAGCTTCTTGCTGTGTATCATATATGTTTGCTATTATGAATAAATACAGCTATTCTGTTTCATTACCGTCTTGCTAGAACACGATATAAACGTGACAGCAAAAATTATAGCTTTCAGAAAACTAAATTCTTATACCAAAAAAGGAGAGTTTTATGAACATTTTATTTGTCAGGCTCAAAAACAGATTTTAGCTGTTGAATTCATATGGAGCTTCCTGATTTTGTCTCAGTTTTTTAGAAGTTTGTTCTGGAAGATAACCTATGGGATCTTGTAGCTCTGCTGATTAAACTGTTGCGGGCAGGTGATGGAGTTTACACCTTCTTCAAAGACTGATAGTGAAGTTGCCTGATGATTTTTATAGACTTCTAGGGCAAGGGAGCAGTGAAGTGGCCAGCTGCTCCCTAAACTCTCTTTTCTACTTAAATATTCATATGGCTTTCCTTACAGAGGTGTGCCAATACCACATATAAAAAATTTATATATGAAATTTGATTAGTTTGTCTATAGTTGAGGAATAAAACATTGTTTACCCTAAGATAAGGGAAATAACTAAAGAAACATTGGAATAGTATTTAGGGGGTTAATTCACTTTTCTGTTTTCTGAAGGACTATTTAAAGTATCTGCATAAAATAACAAAGATTAGTGTAGGAGCCCTGGCCAGTGTGGCTCAGTTGGTTGAGTGTCATCCTGTGCACCAAAAAGTCTCCAGTTCAATTCCTGATCAGGGCTCATGCCCAGGTTGCGGGTTCAGTCCTGGCCCGAGTGCATACAGGAAACAACCCATCGGTTTCTCTCTCACACTGATGTTTCTCTCTCCCTCTCCCTTCCTCTCTCTCTAAAATCAATAAAAACATATTTTTAAAAGATTAGTATGGGATACTTACTAATATGCTCTTCACTTTCAAGTCTCTAATTACAGTTTTGAAAACATACGAATAAGTACTGTGGTTGTAGATAAGATGGAATTGAATTGTCTGAAACATACTTTCTGAAGATAACTCATTAGTTCTAGTTATGTTTATTTTTATGGTTAAATTATATTTTCTTTTTATTGTTGATTTTTATTGCATATGTTCCCTATTTCCCCCCTCTTTGCCCTCCACCCAGACCCCACCCTCCCCTTCCTCTGGCCCTCACCACATTGTGGACTGTGTCCATGGGCTATGCATACATGTTCTGTGACTATTCTCATCATATTCTTTCATCCTGTCTAACCACCCACCTCCCCTCTGACATCTCAGACATGTATCCATGTCTCTGGTTTTATTTTGTCAGTTTATTTTGCTCATTACATTCCATATAAAAGTGAGATCATATGGTATTTGTTTTTTTCTCTTAGTGTAATACTCTCCTGGTCCATCCATACTGTCACAAAGGGTAAGACAGCTGCATAGTATTCCATTGTGTAAATGTACTGCAGCTTTTTTATCCACTCACCCATTTGGGTTGAGTTGGCATTTGGGTTGTATCCAGATCTTGGCTATTGTAAATAACGCTGCTATGAACAAAGGGGTACATATATTTTTTCTGATTGGTATTTCAGGATTCTTAGGATACATTGCCAGAAGTGGGTTGCTAGGTCAAAAGGTAGTTCCATTTTTAGTTTTTTGAGAAAACTCCATACTGTTTTCCACATTGGCTGCACAAGTCTGCATTCCCACCAACAGTGCAGGAGGGTTCCCTTTCCTCCACGTCCTCTCCAGCACTTGTTGTTTGTTGATTTATTGATAGTAGCCATTCTGGCAGGTATGAGGTGATATCTCATTGTGGTTTTAATTTGTATCTCCTTCATGATTAGTGATGTTGAGCATTTTTTCTTATGTTTGTTGGCCATCTTTATGTTCTCTTTGGAGAATTGTCTATTCAGGTCCTTTGCTCAATTTTTAATTGGATTGTTTGTCTTCCTGGTGTTGAATTGTATAAGTTCTTTATATATTTTGGAAAGTAACCACTTGTCAGATGTATCATTGGCAAATACATTCTCCCACGCAGTGGGTTCTCTTTTCCCTTTGTTAATTGTTTCTTTTGCTCTGTATAAGCTTTTTGTTTGATGTTGTCCCATTGTTTTTTTTTTTTTCCTTTGTTTCTCTTGTCATAGGAGATACATCAGCAAAAATATTGCTACAAGAGATGTCTGAGATTTTACTGACTATGTCTTCTAGGATTTTATGGTTTTGTGACTTAAATTTAGGTCTTTTATTCATTTTGAGTATATCTTGTGTATGGTGTAAGTTGGTGGTCTAGTTTCATTTTTTTTGCATCTACTTGTCCAGTTTTCCCAGCACCATTTATTGAATAGACTGTCTTTACTCCATTGTATGCTCCTGCATCTTTTGTCAAACATTAGTTGACCATAAAGGCATCGGTTGATTTCTGGGCTCTTTGTTCTGTTCCATTGAAGTATATGCTTCTTCTTGTACTACTACCAGACTGTTTTGAATATAGTGGCCTTGTAGTATAGTTTGATATTCGGTATTGTGATCCTTCCAACTTTTTTCTTTTTTCTCAAGGTTGCTGAGGTTATTTGGGGCCTTTTTTTGGTTCCATATAAATTTTTAGAATGTTTGTTCTAGATCTGTGAAATATGTCACTGATATTTTAATAGGAATTCCATTGACTATATAGATTGCTTTGGGTAGTATGGACATTTTAATGATGTTAATTCTTCCAATCCATGAACATGGTATATGCTTCCACTTGTTTGCACCTTCTTCCATTTTTTTTCTTCAATGTCCTATAGTTTTCTGAGTACCAGTCTTTTACCTCCTTGGTTAAATTTATTTCTAGGTACCTTATCTTTTCTATTGCAATAATAAATTCATTAATTAGATCTAGTAGTTTTTTTGGTGGAGTCTTTAGGGTTTTTAGTAAAATTAATGTGGTATAGAATACCAGTTGTACCACTGTGGGTATATGAGTATAATCCTGCTGTTTCTATTATAATTATAATAAATCAGAGAAAAGAAGGAAACTGCTACTTATTAAACATCTAAAATATGCTATTATGTGCTTTGCATGTTATAGTTAGTACCACAGTATTTCAATTAATCTACAATAACTTGTGAGATAAGAAAATTGAGAGCCAGAGAGGTTAAACAAGTCGCCCAGCCAGGGTGCATTTGAGCAAGGATTTAAACCAGGACTGTTTGGCCTCAAATCCTGTATGTTTCTCACTTCACCACAG